TCACTGAAGTGGGTGAGCAAGTTCAGGCTATGAGAAAGTACAGGAGAAGTCCTTACTTCCTCGAGGAGGGAGTTTGGTCCTGCAAAGTACCCAGCACCTCGGATCCTTTGAAGCTCCCAGGCGGTCTGTGCACATTTACATTACCACATTTTCATGAGAAGCTGATGGCCACAGAGTTTAACTCTTTGCAGGGCTGAGCCTTGTTGTTGGTTAAATCACTTGTAAGACATCTCAGCTACTTAGAAATCCTTCCACAGGCAAATACACAACTTAAAGGCCTGCACATTTCTGATAAGAACACGACAGGCACCATTTGCCCAATTTTTCTGTCCACTGTAGTTTGCTGCCTAGTTTGTGAGTATCACTGCTTTATACTCCTGTTAGAAATAAGAGAAGATGAAAATAAGAAGCAAAAGAAAAACAGATCTCTTGCAACAATAGGACTGAAATGAAGATGAGAAAGATGGCAAGAGGAGAAGTTCCAATCCATCAGAACATTCAATGCATGTGGCTACCTTTGCACAAGAAGTTCTTAGGGCACTGGCTAATTTTTCATGATGGACACTTCACCAAGCACTAGGCTGAATTGTTTCTGTGAAAAGAGATGGAGGAAGCAGAGGAAAATGTAAATCCGATATATATGACCAAAATACAGTGCTGCTTTCTTCTTGCCAGACGAGAGGTTGGATTTGTTTCTAGTGACTGGCACATAACATACATTTTTCCTTTAGCTAGAAAAAAGTTAGGTTTAGGGTTGGGGTTTTTTTTATTTCCTTGGGGGGGGGGGAAACACAACAACAACAGTGTGGGCTTGAATTACAGTTGGTGAACTCAGATCATTTCCGCAGACCCCAAAATAGTTGGAGAGGTCATTGAAACCACAAACTCCATGGGGTTCATCTGTTTCTGAATGCAGCTTTCTTGAGCCAGAGGCAATCTGCCCCATTGCTTACCAAAGTGATATTTATCTAATTTGTTACTAGAAAATGCTTGCGGGGAGAAAAAAAAAAAACAACAAACCCCAAACCCAGACCAAGAGCAGCAAAAGCCGCTGGAGCCCTGTGCTAGCATCAGCAAATTGGTGTCCATTTGCCCCCATCACGGCAATATCAGAAAGAACGAAGCCTTTCTGGGTCAAATTCTGCTCTCGTTTTCACTGGCATAAACGATGCCTCTAAAGCTGAGGGAATTGTTGGCTGACCGACTGACCCAGTGGACTTCAGGCAGAATTCAGGTCTCCTTGACCTGATCAGAGCAGAGGAACTTGTCCCAGGCACACCACTAAGACATACCAGCTGATTGTTTAACCATATTGAGAAATAGCAAAATAGGCTTCCCTATCATTTTTCACCTAGCTCAGATTTGATCAGAGATATAAAATAAAGAAAGACACGAACAACCATTCTGGCTACGTTTCCAAAATGTCATTCGCACGATCCTGCCGCTATCTTTGTACTTTATCTGTGGCCCTCTGTCTCTTCGCATACTTACACTCACCATCGCAGCTTCCAAGCATTCTCCTCTAATTAATCAAAAACTCTGTCCTTTTGTTTCCTAGGTCACGAAGGAAGAACAGTAAATTAAATAAAGATATCAACTGAGCATGGAAGCTGGATTTCTATCCAAGGAACCTAATAATAGCACCATGATGCAGGCAAATTCAAAATTGATATGGTTTTATATACACAGAGGCAAACAGTCGAGTGTGAAGAAAGTAAACACCAGATAGCATTCAAACAGCTTTTTATCCAGCTCATTCTGTGTTTGTAAATATAGAAGTGTGTTGTGGTGGCTAAATTTATCCTAATGTAAGGAAACATGAACAAAGAGGCTGGTATTTGGTAACTTCTATAGGCAATATTAGGACATCCTGCATGAATTATTTTGGGGCAGTTCATGATAACATGGTACAGATTAGAGTTGCCATTTCATTCAAACAGCTTTTTATCCAGCTCATTCTGTGTTTGTAAATATAGAAGTGTGTTGTGGTGGCTAAATTTATCCTAATGTAAGGAAACATGAACAAAGAGGCTGGTATTTGGTAACTTCTATAGGCAATATTAGGACATCCTGCATGAATTATTTTGGGGCAGTTCATGATAACATGGTACAGATTAGAGTTGCCATTGCTGGAAAAATTAGGTCAGAATTATGTAGATAAGATGGAAAGAATTTCAGTAGCATTGTAGTATTTTCCTGACTTGAAGCCTGACTCACATGTCAAAGCTTTGTTTTATTGTATACCTTGTTTTGATATATAGTCAAAACAGCCTTTATCCAGAGAAAATAAAAATAAACCAGCTGAGCAAGAAAGAATTACACACAGCATTGGATAAAAATAAGTACAGCAAGCTTAATTTCAGAGAGAAATAGTTGTCTTTTCCTGTGAAACATTCAGAAATGGCCATGCCGAACCCAGGAAAAATCAGGGGAGGGAGATACAATTTGGTAACAGCTCGGGAATGGGGCCTTTCCTTTGCTCTTGATCTGAGCTGGAATTTCAGTCATACGTCAGGTGTATCTTGGGACCATTAGAGTATGGCCACGCCAAAGCGGTGCCCCTCTTCTCTATATGCTTCCCTTTGTCCTTCTCAAATTTCATCCTGGATTAGAAGAACCTCTCACTTAAAAAGGAGATAGATCGTGGCCATGAAAGGTTTACTTTTTAAGAGAAGAAGTGAGATTAGTTCTAGTTAGAAGAATGAGAGGCCTGACTCTGCAGCCTTGCCTCCGCAGTCAGCACAATGTTTCCATTGGCTTCAGGTAGAATATTTTTTCACTCAGGTTGTTTATTATAAGTTAGAATGTACTTTTACACTGCTCTGTGTTCAGTGCCATAAATCCCAGCACATACCATGCCTCTCTTTTTTCACCGGGGGTTCTGGCCTGAGTTATTGAATCTCTTTCTGCCATGGAGCTCGCTTTGAGAAGGAGCAAACCTCTGGGACAGACCCTGGTACTTGTATGTGAGCCAGCCTTAAGATAAAATGCTTCATGTTCCCTTTTGCTTATTCAGTGAGACAAACAGACTGTTAAATTCTGGTTTTCAGTCCAGCTCATTAAAGCAAACCAGGGTAAGATGCAGTTTACGCTCCTATGCCAGAAGGTAAATAGCACCAGGGTAAGATGCAGTTTACGCTCCTATACCAGAAGGTAAATAGTGCAGGGGGAGGGGCAGGGGCACATCCCCTTCTGCCCCCGCTGCGTGCAAACAGGCCCCTGGAGCAGGCTGGGCAGCACGAAAGGGCTTCGGCCACTCTTCCCAAAGCCTGCAAGCCCCTGGCATCAGGGCATCTCACCTTCCTTGTGCTCTTTGCATCGCCGCTCGGGCTCAGTGCTGTGTGGGGCTCTTCTTTACCTCGCATGGCTCTGGGGACCGTGCCTTCCCCAAAAGGCCGGTGGGTGCCCATCACTACACAAAGCTGCAGCATGAGCAAGCAGCGGGGTCAGTTTAAGGGGAAGGAAAGCAGGATGAAAGCCAGCTTTCAAGTCCAGGCATGAGCAGAGCAAACCCTAGAAGGACCAGGTTTATTTTTAGGATGGTCTCTCAAGAATCCCTTAAGCAGCTGGCCAGGAATTTGGGCTACTAAAGCCCACCCACAGCACCATTTAGCCCGGCCACCTACAAAACCCAGATAGCCAGCCTTAATGCTGGCACTGCTGCGGCACTCCTCTGCTCCCAGAATTGCTCCTCTCCTCCCGCTCTCTCCCGGGAGAGGAAACAGAAGCGACTGGGACAGGGATGCTGATGCACGGCAGGGGCACCTCGCAGGGGCACCCTGCGCCACCCGCTTGTCTGCCACTTCGGCTGGGTGAGAGGCAGCACCTCAACTACTTGCTTGTTTATTTTCCCAGCCGAAGGCAACCACCGGCGGGGGAAGAAATGGAAAACCAGGGAGCATTAGTGAGGTCTCTTCACACCTGACAGAGGTCACTGATCCGTGCGCATCCTAAGCAGTTAGCGTGGGCGATGCAGGGATCAAAGGGCGGTTCTGGGGGCTGCATCCTGCCCTGCAGAAGCACAGGGGCTCACGGTGCCTTCCCACTGCCTGGGCCAGGCTCTCCTGTCGGACCCGGGCTGCCAGCACTGCCATCTCTCCTCTGAATTACTGCCCCAAAATGTAGCAGAACAGCCTGAAGGAAACATGATATGGGCTTTATTCAGCCTTATGGTGTTTGGGTGTGAAAAATGCTGCGAACAAATGAATATTGACAAGAAATCCAGAACAATTTCAGAAATTTTTAACGGTGACTGCTGTCAGTGTTAAGTGTCACACACCTTGTATTGTATTTGTTTGTAAAAGTTTATTTTTTAAAAAAACCCAAAACACTCAGTTTTATCCATGGACTAACTTTTGTACTTTTTTTTTCCTATAGGATCAAAGATGATTAAATCCATTTATTTGCTTTAAGCACCTTTCCAGCTATAACCACTTTAAGCCAAAAAGTTTGGAGTCATGCAAAGTTTGACTATTGCTCTAGCTGTTTCCTGGGCTTGGGCCAGGCTCCATTGAGGTCTCCATCTTTAACTTTCGTGGGCTGGGCTGAGACTTTCTGGGATAGCGTGGTAGTAAGTATCATAACACAGCCTAGTCCAATATAGCCCACAAAGCATCCAGCGTGTGCATTTTCTCCTCTACTTCATGTATATCCAACCCCTTATTGGCAATATTTTAATGGTACAGTAAATCCTACATTAGAATCTGTACTATTGGATGAAAAAGACATCAGCCATGTGAAAGTGCTGCTCCAGGATAAATTCATTTGTCCAATTCAAATTTCACCATGAAATTTTGATGAGCAAGCTTGAAGCTAGAACAAGTATTCTCTGTTGTCTCACATCTGGCACAACCTTTCTGTGTTGTGATCTGGCTAATTTGACAGAAAGGCAATCACGTGCACACACTTCATCTAGGTCAGCTTTGTACGTGGGGCAATCTACCTCCGTGATCATGGAGCCACAACCTACAGAAAAGTGGGGCATATGAAAAACAAGCAAATACAGTAATTAAAAATATTTATTTCTGAAGATATTTACCTTGATAGGCATAAAGCATTTCCCAATTTCATACAGAAATAGATAAAACATGCATAGACCAATATGGCCTGCTTCAATGTGTATTCAACATGGTAAATATAATGAAGAACTTGTGTGAATATAAATACAAAACACAAAAAATAAGCACATAAGATTCAACCTGTCAGCAAATTCAACAATGTGAACAAATTCACTGCTCCAAACATTCACCCAATATTAGCCTTTTGACATAATTCAAAACAACCCTTTGTCTCGATGCATTTACGCCAAACGAGGCACTGAATAAACCTCACAACAGCCTCTGGTACATCCCCACTTCAGTGCATTTTTGGTGGCATGTAAGACACAACAACCTCTATTTTTAGAACTTCAGTTAGCCAAATATCCTTGTTATGGGAAACCTAGTAGTGTCCTCTAACTTTTATTTTATGTTGAAGAGTCCTTTGGTATCAAAACCAAAGGACTTTGACTATGCAAACAACCACAGCGCCTAACCCACATTCAGATAACTCTGGTTGTACAAGTAAACTAGACTTCTGAAAAAAGGCAAAGGGTTGCAGCTGATTAGTAAAGGCAATAACAAGGTGTAAAAATACTCTAGCAGGAGTGCAACAAACAGTACGCGAGGTAGACATGTATATATGCAGTAAGTCCTGATTAAAGTAGCACTATGGCTTTCATTTTTGCAGTTTAATCAAAAGGTAGAGTTTTTTGCTTTGAAGTTTGTCCACTCAGATCTTGCTTTCTGTCCTTTCTAAGCACATCTGTGAGGTCTTCCTTGCAAGATGCTTTTGATGTAGACCCTGAAAGCTGCTCAATTGATGGGTAACATTCCAGAAGCAATATTCAAATGTTTCTTCAGAAAGATGGCTTTTCATGTATGCTACCGCGGATTCCCCTTCACCCCCTCTACCCATCCATCTGAATTCCAAAATGATGAAATCCTTTTCTTTTATACCTCCAAATATGGGACTCCATTAGTGTTTTGCTCTGCTGCACAAACACTTGGACAGAGAGGCCCTTCGCCGTCGTGGAATGTTAGAAGTCAAGAGAGAGTTTTGGTGACGCTTTGTCAGCAAGTGTGATGAAGAAAGACTCAGGTGATCTTCCCACTAGGATGCTTTCAGACTTTCCCAGACGCTTTGCCTTTTGTTCGCCCTGTTATGTTTCAGCTTCCGTCCTTTCTGGAGCTCAGCCTTCAGCTTTGCAATACTGAAGGAAGCTTTGATACTGTTACCAATGGCTTCCAGCCTGCAAAAATAAGAAATATACACTTATTGTTACAATAATGAAGATGGATCTCCAGTGCGCAGACATTCACTTTTTGATTAAATAAGCCCCAGTCTAGATTTCTGCCATGGGATCCTCAGTAACTGCTGATTGCTGTACCTCTGTCAGAATTACGCTAACTTAAGCCACTGGATTCAGAATTTAAATGCAAACATTAAAATAAGCTAAAATATTCATTCAAATATAGATGCCCTAGACTTCCTTAAATAGCATGTATCTAATCAAGAGGTCTTCAGCGTTATTCTCTTTGGCTGTTTTGTTTCTTTCAGGTATACCTGGTCCTGGTTCCAATGAATGGGTGCATTTTTCAAGTAAGTAAGCAAGCAAGCCCCATTTTCAAAAATTATTTAAGACATCCAGGGCGTAAGTCTCACTCAAAATCATCAGGCTGTCTGCTCCCATAAGTCCTGTTCTGCTTTTGAAAGTAGCACTAGAGAGTCTTCTTTTGTATGGGCAAACTTCTGTGTGCCATACTTTTACACGGGCACATGGCCGAACACTGAATGCCGGAACTGATATAGCCGTACTAACAGTCAGCTTCAAAGCTGACTTCACCTCTGTGGGGTTCGTAGCTGCACCAAGTCCAATGCGTGCATCTCTGAACCGCACTGTGGAGTGATACTGCTGCCTACTGCCACTCAACTTACTATGCACAGACCTCAAAAGGCAGTCCTGAAATTTACTCCTAATCTCAAATATTAAATTGGGCTCAAATATTAATTTAGTCTTCATTTTCCCTTTCCTCAAACTTTTTGCAGTCATTTCCATCACTAGCATCCTGTACTCCTTTTACACAGGTTTGTCAGGCAATGTAAGAGATAAGGCAGGTAGAAATCCGCCTCCTGCATTCTAAAAAGCCAGCCACACCAGTCAGAAGAAACAATATATTCAAAATCTGGATAGATCAATAATCTTTTTTTCCCCTCCAGTAAAATGGAGTAAAGTATCTAAGAAAAGGCATTCTGATTCAGTTTCATATTAGAATAGTTGGGACAATATTTTTAAGTAGTTAAGATAGTGCATGAACACACTAAAATGACAGGCTCTATTTATTTCTGTCAGAATTTCACGATTTCATACTCTTCTGAAGCTTGGTGTATCTTTAGGCCTACAACTAAGCCTGCTTCCTCTAAGCAAATGGAGGATGCTAGGCAGAGCTCAGCACCCGTGTCTTCACAAGCTAAAAACCCACTGCATGAAGAAAAGCCCTTAAGACATCCTCACCGATTCCTCTGTAGCTCTCAAGCTGAAATCACCAGCTAAGCCCACGCTGACCCAAAGGCAGGTGAACTGTGCTCTCTATTGCTACGCCAGGGAACTACAACAGGATGAGAAGAAACTCACCGCTTCATTTTCTTGCTGTCAACAAGCTGTCGGTTCATGCATTTGGGTCCAATGCAACTGCCAGCTTTGTCATGGCGACGCGAGGTTTTCTCCACTGTGGACTGAGCCCTGTTAAAAGTGAAAAGGTGCTGCTGTTAAAAAAACCCCCAGGTCTGCAGTCCACAAGGTGAGGCATCTCATCAACCACTTCTCAAGGCATGTAATAAGCGATCTTTCTGGGCCAAACCACAGTATGTATTATAGCAGTGTGAGCACTCAGGTAGGAGGCAAGGCTTTGGGGAGATCATTCACTCAGCAGTTGCCAAAATGAGTAAGTGTACCACAATCCATCCCTTTTACATGCACTGCCTTTTAAAGGGTAGCAACAATAGACGCACCAGAGATCTTTTCCTGTCTGGCAGAAGTTCAGACATTTCTTGTCCTTCTGGTTGGCGCATCGGCATCTGCTGCTAGGTTCAGCGAGCATCTCTGGCACCATGTCCTTCAGCGATCTTCTGGATCGAGAAGGGCCTCCGAGACCATACGGAACTGTCTTCCTATGATCAAAGAGACAACATGAAAGTCATTCAAATAATTCTGTGGCTTCAGAACAGCGGGGTATTTTGGGCAATCTTATCAATGGGATTGATTGCATGAGTAAAGGCTGTGGGATTGGGAATGCCTCGCTGGTCATAGTTTCCATGCAAATGCTTCTGATGATCCTGCAACATATTCATTAGCATGGCTACTCACATTAAAAGGCTAATGACCTTTTAATTGTGATTTCATAAGGCTGCTGTGCCTCCCTGTGCGATAGAAAGCAATAAAACCTCATCTCTCTGAACTCTGGTAACTGCCAACACCGAAAGAAGCAATAAAAGTGAGGAAGAGATCCTCGGTGCCCAGAGGAAACCCAGCACCAGAACAAATCACCAGAGTCAGTGTTTGCAGCATTAGGTGAGGCTCTGGCTCACTACTTTTTGGTGAGGAGAGCGTAGAAATGGACACTGTACATAACCCTATTAACACGTGGGATGTGTTAATTTGCAGCACAGAGCAGCAAGAGGTGGCAAGGAGCCACCCCGTGTCAAAGTAAGCCTTCTAGCCTCCTAACTTGTTGGAAAGAAAAACGGTCAGACAAATTCAGGCTGGCAAAATCATACTTTTGGCATTTTGTCCGCTTCTGATTCATAGTGAAAAGTATCCCGCAGCCTTTGCTGAGCGGCACGCAAAGGAAATACTCCTGACCAGACTTTAGGAACGCAGGTGTGTTAAGGCTATTAGGGCTATCTCCTCAAACTAGGTTGTCAAATCCTGCTTGCTTTCTCCCAGTGAACATTCTCGCTGGGGGGGGGCGGGAAGCAATAGGAGAGACCGTGCAA